TTTGATCGAGTCATCTGCAGCAAAGCCTGATTTTATTGTGTCTGGACCTCCTAAAAAAATTGAACAAGGACCATTACAGAAGCCTAATTTGGTCGAGTCTGCACCTACAAAGAAACTTGATTTGATTGAGTCCAGTACTCCTAGGAAGGCTGATTTGGTTCAGCATGGGCCTGCAGGGGAGCTTCATTTGGTTGAGTCCAGACCTTCTAGGAATTCTCAACTGATTGAGCCTGGACCTACAAGGAAGCTTGATTTTAATCAACCCTGACCAACAACATGCTTTGTTGATCATCCTGTTGAAAGGCCAGTAGTCACTCCAAGCAGCTACGAGAATGAAATGAGATTCTGCTTCCACTCACATTGGGTCGCAGATACAAGCAAGGGCGGCACCATTTCCAGTTCCACAGCTCCGAGCTGCAGCGGGAGCTGCTGGGCCGCCTGAGATGCAGATGGAGGCGCAGCTCCTCCGAGCTGCCGGGTCGCTGAGATGCAGATGGAGTCGGAGCACCTCCGAGCTGCAGCAGGAGCTGAGATGGAGATGGAGCCGGAGCACCTCCAAGCTGCAGCAGGAGCCGCTCCGCTGCCAAGCTGTAGTGTGATCCACCGCGAAGATGAAGCCCAAGGTGTTCTCACTTCAGTACAGTGGGGAGAGGAACATGACGCATACCTTGAACTGGTCGATGGAACCAAGACCAGCAGTCATGCTAGACACGTGGTCAGCGCTGCGTGTCGTGGTGGCAGTTGGTGAAGCAACTATTGGCGGTGTTTTTGTCTCTCAGCACTTGGCATGATTGTAATATTCTTTATTTTTGAGGTATGTGATGTTACTTGAACTGTAATTATCGTGGAGCCTTTTGGCTTCTGGCTTTAAATAAGCTGTCCGGTTGCATATGTACAGTTTCGCACTACGAATGCAGATACTATTGATACTAAACTGCATGCTTAAAACACTATTATTGTATCTGACATTATATACACGTAACAGTACTCCCCCTTCTGAACATTATATTGTTTCCATCTGAAAACCGATCTAAATTAATACAATTCATATTACATTGTCATCTACGTCTACTTACTCCCTACTAACATTGTTTCTAACTGGGTTCTTGAACCATCTACATCTACTTACTCCCTACTAACAAAGTTTCTAACTGGGTTCTTGCGCCATTGGCGCAACCGGGTCATCTAGTTCTATAAAGGAAGCACTTCATCAGAATATTTCCTGTCACATCACATCATAGAACACGCCCTCGAGAAATGTAAGAAATATACACAATGGACATCAAATAGCTGAACAGGAAAGACACCAGAAACCTCAGACCAGATAAGTAAACTTTGATGGTCCATAAAATCCCTGTAGAGGACATAAGAGAGTTTACGCTTTCGATAATGTCCAAGAACACCTAACATGCGAGAAGAACAGAAAGTAAAAATTAGATGATGAAAATGGAGCGCAAAGTTTCCGCGTTTCCGGAGGAAAAATGAAAAGAGAGGAAATATGAAAACAGAAACGGAAATAGAAATGTAGTTTTTTATGCGGAAACAGAAACAAAAACGAAACGGTGTTTTTCGGTGGAACGGACGTGGAAAAGGAACTTTCCGTTTCCGTGAATATGGAGTTTCCGTTTCTGCTATAAGCCCATGGCTGCTTTGTAGCCCAACTACCAAACAACACACAATGACATAATGAGTAGAATGAGCAGAATGAATCATTGAAGGACCAACTTTTACTACCACACACGTACTCAACTAGACCCTATACGGAATTGTCATGTACTACTACAATACTGCCACCATGTTAACAATTCCATAAATTAGTTTGTTTTTGTCTGTATTTCTCTATGATTCAGGGGGGGAGGGGGTTAAGTTTCGGTAAACACACAGTTTTGCTTCTGTGTCTGCTCTGTATTCGCTCCGTGTTTGTTTTCGGTACTATCTGTTTCCATATTCATTTTCGGGGTTTCTATATTCATTTATGCTTCTGCAAAAAAATATGAAAACAAATATGGTAGCACCCAGTTCCGTCGGTTTCTGCGCCGTTTTCATCCCTAACTAAGGACAACAAGAAACAAAAACAAAGGAAATTATGGGCCATTGTTCTAACAGGAATGTTGGTACCTGTATAATATGTATTAGAACTGGGATGCATTTTAAAAAGTATGTAGGATGATGGCATTGCTAGTAGCCCTCACTCTGATAGGAACCTAGGACCATTATAAATGTTGGTGCTATGTTTTTTTTAATACAGTTGAAGCCTTCCTACAATTTAATTCAAATATCTCATTCTTCTTGTACACAAGACCATCTCTTCTCCAACCGACAGCTGCTTAAACCCTGTTGAGTTTGCCGATTCTGATGTACCATCACAAGTAAGTTTTCACAACAGAAAATTCCAATCGCCAAATAAAGCCAAACATCGATACCATTATTAGATGACATGATCATTTACACCTCTCTGATTGGGATGACACATTAACTTACAATTTGAAAGAGCAAAAATAGGTAACTACAGAAACTCATCTGGCCTGTTAAGTAACTAATACATTCTGTTGCTTTGAACAGACTTGTGTTCTTCTACGCTCACTCATATATCCTCAGTTTTTATGACCAAAGTTTCTCAAAGTCGTGCAAGTGTTCTACTATCTGTGCGAACTATTTTCTTTCTGTATGACAGCCAGCTGGCCCTCAAAGGATTCGGTCGCTCTGCATATGGGCCTAGTTAATTTTATTTTTCTAGAAAAAATTGCCAACAACAAAAAAAGACCCTAATTGCCATGATCTGAATTATGAAAACCTGACATCCTCTAGATATTTTTATAAGCTGGATAAGCCCCAATAAAGATTCTTTCTTTCAAAATCATAAAAAATCACACACCGGAATTCCCATTGTCGAAAAAAGAAAAAAAGTACGATGCCATTTCAAATTGAAAATGCCATCCTCTAAATAATAAAGAAAATGCCATCCTCTTAATAATACTCCCTCCGTTCCTTGATATAAGGTGTATAGATTTTTGAGAAAAAGTTCGAAATATATGGTGTATTGCATTGCACCACTCGTTTGGATAAATATTTTAGGGATTTGATTACATTTCCTTATTTGTGGCAAGCTCCTCTATTTTCTCGTGTCAATTAGTCAGGTGTAATCTTGCCCAAAACTTGTGATATTTTTCCTCCATGTGTGTTCTTTAATTTTTGTGCCAAAAACTATACACCATATATCTAGGAACGGAGGGAGTAATAAAAATACCATGTTCTTAACTATTAAAATGGCATGCCGATAATAGTAAAACTGCCATGTTAATGATAAATAAAATGCCATACTCTAAACAGAACTACCACCCTTTTAATAATAAAAATGTCAAGTTGTGATTACTCTGCCATCTTTTTAAAAATAAAAATGTAATGTTATTGACTATTAAAATAAGAAAACTATCGTGTTATTGACTATTAAAAATGCCATGATTTTAGTAATAAAACTGCAATCCTATGAATAATACAAATTCCATGTTATTGATTATTAAACTGACATCCTCTAGAAAAATGCTATATTCTTTCCCTATTAAAATGCCATGCTCTAATAAATAAAAAATGCCATGTTATTGATAACAAAATGCATGCTCTTAAAACAAACAAAACTATAATAAACAAAAGTCCTATGAATTCCCATGCTACCTATAATAAGAATGCATATGGTAAGTTTAGAAAGAATGCCCTCTAAAATAGGGATTTTTGTTCTTTCGAAAATGGGAAACAAATTGGATTTTTTGGAGAAAAAAATCAAATGAGAAAGCAAATTTATTTATTTTTGCTAAAATAAATAAAGTCATTTGAGCACATCTATTCACAAAACACTGCTTCAGCCTCAGTGGTGGGCCTTCTACTAATGCATTAGCCATTAGGTCTCGAGTTCGAAACATAGTTTAGAAAACAGGACCAGTAATCAAATCGGTGAGGCTGACGGTTCAGATTTTTATCGGTCAAACAGTTGGTTCACTGGTTCGATAGCCAAGTTTTTAAGCAATAAAATAATATATATTTTAGCAATAAATACACAACAATAGATAAGAAAATATGTAATCAAATGGCAGAGTAACCAACAACTACATGATAATATCAAATCATATACATGACAATCTCTAACTCAAACATAGTACTATAACATCAATCAGCAAGGGCTCGGTAGGCACATGATGCCTAATTCGTATACACGATGCATAGTGTTCGGCCGAAACCGTACAAAGGTTTTTTTTCCTCTTTTCCCTTTCTACCCCTGGCTTGTTCACAGAAAAAGTAGTTGATTGAGGGGGTTTTCTGCAAACGACATTGAACCATCCGGTTTGCAAAAATTGTCCGGTTCATTGGTTTTTCCAAAAACCGGCTGGTTTGACTTGTTTTTTTCGATTCGATTGCTCAAACGGTCCGCAACGCTTAAAGAACTGCCGTGGTCGCCGGTTCTGGGTTTTTTCAGTCCGACCGCTGGTCCGATCCGGTCTTAATTTAAACTATTTCGAATCCCACAACTACACATCCTTTGTGTTTTTTGAAAAAATAAACAAATAAAGGGAACATTCGCCAGAGATATGTCCACAGCGAACGACTCCAGAGAGCTGACGTGGCGTTGGCCGTGCCTCAAGATCCGTGTGACAACAGGGAATGCGTTCGCCAAGGTGGGCTCCTAGCGAACGTTCGCCAAATAGCATTCCGCAAAAAAAAAAAGGTCGCAAGTCCGAAGAGTTGTTGAAACTTGAAACTGACATTGTCCTGTTCTAGTCGGACTTGGACTTGATTCCGACTCTGAACAGTGACCACGCTCTTATATACTGCGATTGGTTCGAGAGAAGGGAGTTGCACCATCGATAGCCGAGCTGATGGCGGCGGCGGCGGTAGAAGACCGGAGCTGCGTGATCCTGGCGACGAACGACTACAGTAGCCACACGTACACGCTGCACCACATCGACGTGGCGCCGTTCTTCTCCCACCCCGATCCGGACGATGAGGCCATGGACGACATCCCCCTGCCTCCCGCGTCCGCGCGCTTCGACAAGCCGCCATTCCCGCGGAACTGCTTCGTCAACTTCCACCTCCTCCGCGGAGGCGGCATCTACGGCGGCGGCGACGTCAAGGTCGTGTCCACCGACGGCGAGCGCCGTACCGTCATCTACGACGTCGCCCGCCGCGCCGTCCGTGGCGGGCCGGTGATGCGCGCTCGCAAGGGCAGCCCGATCTCCGCCTCCGTCGGGGACGGCCTCTTCGTCCTCGAACTCGTACCCGACAAGGGCAAGGGCTGCTTCGAGGCCCTCCGCTACGACCGGCTCCGGGAGGACTGGTTCTGGCACAGCCTCCCGCGGCCGCCCTACGTGCGCGAACCCGGCTCCACCTGCTCCGCCGTCACGGCACACACGCCGGCCGCCGGTGGCATGATCTGGACGTACACGAAGAACGCGGGGACCTACTCATTCGACACCAGGCGCTGCTCCTGGAGAAAGGAAGGCGAATGGGCGCTGCCGTTCGTCGGAAAAGCCGAGCACGTCCCGGTGTGCGGCAGCGAAGGACTGTCTTTCGGCTTTGCGTCCATCAGCGGCCCTCTCTGCGCCGTCGACCTCGCCACCGCCACCGCGGAGAGACCGCCAGAGGTGCGCGGGGTCTGGGAGGAATTTAGGCTGCCCGGGGATTGGCTGGGAGGCACCTCCTCCCTAGTGCACCTCGGGTCCGGCAAGATGTGCATCTTCAGGTTCTTCGGCACTGTCCCTAGCCCCCCTATCGACAGATCTGGGAAGAAACCGGACCGTTTCGTCGTCATCACCCCCGTCGAGGTAGGTCCCAGCGACGACGGCGGCAGAGAGATCAAGATGGTGAAGCACAGGTCCAAGCGTATCAAATTAGACAGACTTAATGGACACATAACATGGGTACTCTGATGTGTGTATCTGTTCGTTCACATTTAGTAACATGGACAGTTATGTTTGTTCCTAGAAAAATCAAAGTTTTAAATAGCCGGCTATATCTCTGCTATAGCCTTTCAGAGCTCTTCCGCTAAAGCTATGCACTTTATCGTCAAACTGAAAATGACGCTAATAGCCCCCTATTTCCCGCTAAAGCGCTAAATTCGGAGTCATTTAGCCCGCTAAGCCACTGCACAAAACCAACTTTCTGCATTATTTTTTGTTCTTCTTTCTATATATGTGATGCATTGATACGCAAGTTTGGTTATTTAATTAGGACACCAGATTGGTGCTTGGTTTTGATGTACGAACATTTGTATATGTTGAGTATATGGGATATATTCACCCAAAAAAAAGAGAGTATATGGGATATATTATATATGATGCCTTTTTGTATGCTTATTTTTTCAATTCTTTGTGATTTATGAAAAACACTAAATGGGCTTAGCTCCCCTATAGTTTTTCATAGCTTCTCGCCGAGGCGCCGCTAAATGGCATAGCCCGCTATTTAAAACATTGAGGAAAATACACAGTTGATATAAGAAGTTGTCACGAAAGTTCAATTTCATACATCAATTTAGAAACTCACCCTCGGGTATATGATGTTGCCACGCGATGCTGACGTGGCATGCCACGTATGTGAGTGCCATGATGTAAATTTTGTTCATATAAATCATCCTTCTCACCATGATACACATTTTGTTCATACAAATCATCATCTCCACTGTCTATGGTATAGTCACTATCACTGAATTTCTCATCCAGATCATCGATGTCACTGTGGCTGTCTTGTGAATGTTCATTTCGCCATGTGTGCGCTTCTAAATGTTCCGCTCTCTAGCTGTCTCCTGTCCCTTTGCTCTCAAGCTTTCTTGGTGACACCATAACTCTTGGTACCAGCACATCATTGCTGCTCTGCTTCACAATCATGTTATCATGATCAAACTGTCAGGTGCTTTGTGCTTTGTGCTATGTGCTACATAGACCATCTTCAAAGCATCATCATCACCCTTGAGAGAGATCAGACTTTCAGAAACTATTTTTGTTTGCAAACACCAGTACAGTTTCCTTTCTGGTGATAACGACTAGCCAAGTTCCTCAAGAAAAGCATTTATCTATACTAATGACTATGCGTCGCACTCACAACAGCAAACCAATCAATCTTAGCATCCATGTAATTTCTGTTTTCTCCAATACCACAAAAAAAAACCATGGTGATGAACCCCCACAGTGAATTGGTCATCATTGTTACTTATGATGCAATTTAAAAACAATACTACCTCTGTTCACTTATGTAAGATTTGGCAGTTCAAGTGAACAGAGGTAGTGCTACAAAAGATGTAACCATTGTAAACAGATTCATTGAGAAAAGGGGCATTGTGAACCATGACACAGAACCACCCAACTACACAGTACACTGATCTTAGGGCCATTACAAGGACATTGAATAAAACCCTAAATCAAAAAACCTTGAACTGGATCGACTAAACTAACTGAACAGAGCACATCTTCCAGACACATCAGACGCAAATGCCCAGCGACAACAATTACAACAACAGAGAGATCAAGATGGTGAAGCACAGGTCCAAGTGTATGAAGTTTGCCAAACACAAGGGACACATAGTATGGGTACTCTGATGTTCGTCCACGATGTAGAAAAATATATCATCCTGGAAGAATACCCTTTTGTGTGACGATGTAACAGTTATGTTTGTTTCTAATAGCACAATCAGTAATGCCAGCAAAAAAGCATACAACAGAACCTTTCTCATTTACAACTGCTACTCGTAGAGTAACTTATTTCTCAGCAGGACACACACATGACGCATCTAAACTACAGTTTTGAACACAAAAAACAGTGCTGGTACAGGACTGTGCGAAACGCAAATTCGATCACTAAAACAGGAACTCCCTGGGGTCCTTAGCATATCGTGTCAACACTAAGGCCATTACAGTGTAGGGAGAAGCCAGGTAGATCTACCGTTCCTTGTGGCCCATCCTGCCAGGGAAGTTCCTCTCAACACACCAACAAGGGCTTCTAGCTGAATCCAAGAAAAAGGTATTCTACAGTATTTGCAGTTGTGGCTTTCATGAACATCTAACAACTGATTAACTCATGCAAATAAGTGTGTCCCCAGTAAGAATGATGTGTTAATAAGGCATGCTAAATAGGTATCAAAACTAACAGAGAGCATTTTGTACTACTATTTTTTGTTCATTATGGCTAAGAACAGCAACCTAGAACAAACTGGTGGCTTTGACTAGCAATTCCATACGGTAACTGAAACCCTACGTGAGATGGCAGCCAAAATTAGCCAACAATGTGAAGACATGGCAGTTAAAAAACTGTTTGTTACAGCAGCTATTTATATGTATTCAAGGTCAAATGTCTTATCTATAGAGAATCGACCGATCTTAACACTTCAGAAAACACAGAAGGCCCCTTCTACATTTATATCAGACGGCATGTCTATTGTGCAAAAATATACTTCATTTGGAAATATTAGAAGATACTTGTTGGTTATATGTAATGTATCCCGAGGACCACCCAAACAGCGCCGCAATTAGGACTAGATGGTGTATAACAACCAACCTCTTCAAAAATCTGGGACCATGTTTTGCCACCAGATCCTGGTACAGGGAGGCTATACATATGTCCCCACACCTAATAGAAATGTCAGCTAAGTATGCGGGACTAATTAGGTGAACCCAAACCTGGCATACATTAGGCTCTTGCAGTAAGAACAAAAACAATATGCGTGTCCCTTAACCCAAATAACTTCCAGTTAGTCCTGAAAGTAGATCCAATTTGCATACTGAACCTGTCATGATAATAATGCTAGCCCATTCATTAGTGCTGCAGGAGAAGCTTATGTAGCCCACTAACATGCCTAATTACAAAAAACCTACAACACTTCCTATTTTAACAACTGCTCTGTTAACTTCATAGTATGCAGAGGGAAGACAACATAAGAAACTTACAATATATATAAGTACAAACACTGGAATAATCATACTCTGTAAGTTACAAAATGCATAGCCAATACCTCAGTGTATGCCAAAATGCAGAAAATAAAACATAATCCTGACTATATATCACTATGCTACATGATGATAGGCTTGAAGCCTCTCTTACCCAAGCTAAGAACACCTTTGCAGCAGCAATGAAGTCCTCAGTCTTACAACCAGTGCAAGAACCAATATAGACTCGGTTAGCCTTGACATCTTTGCAATCTCTTGCTTGAGCACGGTTGTCAGGGGAATGTGCCTGCACATTCATGGAGATTACCTCATTATATAAGAGAACTAACAAAAATATAAAGATTGCAGAAGAGTGGAATATGTTAACAAACCTTGCAACTACTGGCTCCAATTTAGATACATCAAATTGGTAGTCACGGTAAAATCTGAAAACAGAAAGTCAATCGAATAGAAGAACAACATATATCAAAAGCACCATTTACAACATGTCACAAAGAAAATATGATGAAAAATCTAGGAGAAAAACGCTGCTGGACAGCAGCAATCAAATTTTTGTACTGAAGACATGAGAAAGATATGGGCAATATTTTCTGAATGTCAGTTAGAGAAGGGGAGAAGCAGATCTCAAGTCCAAATATAATTCCTCAAAATATGTCACTGCAGAGCTCCAGGTTCCAATTCAGAATGACAAAAGTTTAATCGATAAGAATCCAAGTTGACATATTTTTCTACTGTATTTCTTTTCTTTCAGCAGTTCATTTCCTATAATCAATCTGTCGGTGTACTAGAATAGGGGTACTCTAGTACCCCGAACTTGTGCACGGGCAGTTGCAGCGCCCCGCGGCAAGGCTTGACGGGCGAACGCCAAGATCCTCCGTGGTTCCCTTGGAGCCATTCAAGAACAAAGTATTTAAGCTCAGAGACTAGGCCCCGGCGAGAGGAGCTTGCCGGGAAGGCCAACCAAGGCACGCCAAGGAACTTGCCGCGACGCACCACGCGCTCCGGCAAGGCGACAAGGCCCCAGCAAGAGGAGCTTGCCGGGAAGACCAACCAAGGTACCTCGAAGCCCGGTGAGCGACAAGCTTCCGGACCCGACAAGATAACAACAGCGGCAAGGCGCTTGCCGCGGCAGGCGGCCACTCTGTGCCCACGCTCCAGCGCATCCACCAACGTGTCGCTCTGGGGGCCTCTCCAGGCGCGCGTGGCGGGAGGCTGTGCAGCCAGCGGTGTGCAGTGGCATGCGGAGCTGACAAGATCGCCATCGTGGCGAATGGTGGCGCCCCTAACGGTCCTTTTCTGCACTGTTTAGGCGACTCAGACGGGCATTTAATGCCCTTGTCCCCTGCCGTCAGGGTTAGGTAGGGTACACTGTACAAGCAACTGTACCAACCACCTCACTTTTTACATTTGTACCCTCCTCTGCGTTGTCACCTGTCGGTGACCCCTTTAGCGTATAAAAGGAGGCCCATGCGCAACGTAGAGGGGGTTCGGACAGTTCGATTCGATTCATTCGTAGCCCAGAAAACACTACGCTCTCTCTCTAGAGCAAGAACGCAAGATAATACAACCAGACAAGTAGCAGTAGGAGTGTTATCTCTCCGGAGAGCTCCGAAGCTGGGTAAACTGCTCGTGTGCTCCACCTCGATCCGCTCTTCGTGCGATCTCCGCCCCCCACCGAACCGAAAGGGGCCCGGTCCACCGGCCCCATAGGTGTTCGTGGATCAGTTTCCCCCGACATCTTTGGCGCGCCAGGTAGGGGGCGTCGAGATTGCGTGAACCTGATCCGGCATTCACACGAGCTAGATCTTCATTCCCTTCACCAACATGCCACCGAAGAAGAAGACTTCGGCGGCAGCCGCTCCGTCCACGTCACTTCCGCCACCGTTGGAGCAAACGGGTGGTGGAATGGACGCCGGCGGGAGAATGGACGTCAACGAGGAAGCTTATGATGCTGTCAAGTCCAAGGACAAGGCTGCACAAACCTCAGCGACTGT